TATGTTATTATAAATGCAATTATTTCATTTATCATTAATGAGAGAATCATATAGATTTCTTCCTTTCATTCTATTAATGTGGTGTATTACACCAATTGATTTTTTTTCTTTTCTTTTCTTTTTTCTTTCTTTTTTTTTTTTTTTTTGTCTGTTTCCTTTTTTCTATCGGTACCAGGGATCGAACTCACGACTGCCTGCTTGCAAGGCAGGTGCTTATGCCACTGAGCTAAATACCCAGCCCCTACCAATTGATTTTTATACATTGAAGGATCCTTGTATTCCAGGAATAAATGACTTAGAAGGTACTCCTTCCTTTTCCAGTTTTTGGAAGAATTTGACAAAGAGTCGTGTTCTTAAAACTAGAACTCACCAGTAAAGCCACTTGATTTGATGACTTTTTGTTGTTGTTGTTGCTGTTTTTTTGGTACCAGGGATTGAACTCACAACCTTACGCTTCCCAGACAGGTACTTATGCCACTGAGCTAAATCCCTGGCCCGATTTGATGAAGTTTTAATATCCTTCTTATTATCTTCACTTGTAATTTGTTGTATGAATTTGGGTAACAGTTTCTTATTAATAGACACATATTTCTTTCAGTCTTTTTGCTTCAGGACATACTTTTGACTATATAAGTTTTCTCCATTACTTTTAACATAACAGTCACATTATTACATAGGTCACACCTTGTCTTTTAGCTCACTGATTGTGGAAATGGGATGTTTCACAAGACAGACCATTTCATTCAGTGGCTGACAGAAAAAGGGGACAGTTTTTATACTTGTATATGCGGTAGGGCACCGTGCACAGTGAGTACTGGTAGTAAAATTTGTTGAAAGAATAAAGGAAAACAATTTGTCATACTCTATTTGAAATCTTCCTGGCTTGCATAAGCCTTATTGAATCCTAAAAATCCAAGGTCACAGATCAAAAGGTTGACCAGTCTCATGCCCTCCATGTTCGTTTAAGGCTCAAATTTTCGCTACTGTGACTCCAGCAAGCAGTTGCCCAGCTCGAGTCCTTCCTTAGACCGGGTTCTCTTTACCTCCTTATAGCCCGTGCCATTCCATGAAAGGTCCCTGAGCATCACGTGTCCACAGTGTGGAGCCGGGGACCACTCTGCCAGTGCAAAATCTTCCCAATGTTTGAAGCCAGTGATGCATCTCTGCTATTCCACATAATCTAACCTTGAAGCCACACAGAGGAGGAAGGACCCTCCTTTCATACGTTTGTCCTGAAAATGTTCAGGGCAGTGCTCATGCCTTTGGGAACTTTGCCATTTTTCCCACTTCCAAGTTCTCTTCTTTCAGTCAGACCCAAATTGGCCTCCACCATCCCGCTGGACTGGCCTTCCCACTGTGCCAGCTTCAGCTCATCTGCCTCTTCCTTTGGTCACCTTCAGTCTCTTTACTGTGAGCCACATTTACTGCAGGCCTGTGTATTTGTTATTCTTTGCCTTCTCCTAAGTACAGTGTCTGGAGGGCTAATGGGTGTCTAGGCAGATCTTTGATGAGGGCCTCCTGGAAGGCAAGGCCCTGCTACCCACAGCACCTTACCAGTTTTGTGAATGGCACAGATGGATAAGGGGCAGCTGGCAAACGTGGATAGCTGAGATGGGAACACTGGTGCGGCCAGCCTAAGGCACTTGGACAAGGAAAAACTGAACATAATCAAAAAGGAGAAAACCTGGTATTTATACTGCTTCTGAAAATGACAAGCATCTTCCTCCCCATGGTGTGCCCTCCACCAACCGGCACTTCACATGTCTTAGTGTATTTTTTCTGTTGGTATAACAAAATACTGGAAGATGGCTATTTTATAAAGAAATTTACTTAGTTTTGCAGATTCAAGACCATGGCACTAGTATCTGCTGGGCTATGGTGCGTTCTTTTTCTTAAATCGGTACTGGGGATCGAACTCACGACCGCCTGCTTGCAAGGCAGGTGCTTATGCCGCTGAGCTAAATCCCCAGCACTATGGTGAGGTTTTTATGGTAGACGGCATCACAGTGGTGGGTATTATGGTTTAGATGGAGAACATTCCCCAAAAAATTCTCATATGTGGACATGGAGCCTGGTTAGAAGGGACAAGTCACTGGAGTGTGACTTGGTGTTCTGATCCCTGGCTTCTCCCTCCTCTTTCTGCTTTCAGCCACCACGATGAGAGCAGCTTCCCTTCATGAGGGCTTTCATCATGTAGTTTATGATGTGGAGCCAGCAAGGCACTGACTAAACCCACTAAAACCGTGAGCCAAAAATAAACCTCTCCTTTAGGTTGTGAGTGGCAGGAATTGTGTCCCAGGGACAGGAAAGCTGGCTAACAATGGGGATGCAAACAGTAAATTGCTTGGTGACTTAGGAAATCAGAGAGTGATCTAGGGGTCAACTTCAATCTTTATCACTGTCTGAAAACTGGGGTTCCATAAAATACCCTCGTGTTTAGAGGGCAGTACCTTGATGACCTCGCTTCCTCTCACCAGGTGCCACCTCTAAAGATTCCACCACCCTGACCACCACCAGGGCCCAAGCTTTCAGCACACAACCCTTGAGGGCGAACTACATGCAACCCCACAGCACCACCCAGGGTCACTCTCTGTTCCCTTCTTCTGTTTTTCCAGCCTAGTATCTCGTGGTTCTGTCCTGAGCTGGACCGGGCCAGGAGACAGCCATTGCATGAGAAAGCCTTGGGGACAGAATAGCAGGGGTGAACTCTGGGGGTCTAGGCATTTAGCACTGGGCTGAGGAAAGGAGCTTGGCTGGAAGGCGCAGGAGTGCATGGCTGAGGATAAGACTAGCGCTCATCCTGGGGAGTCAACAGCCAACCACTGTGGGCCCAGCCAAGCCCCATTTCCTCTGTGGCCCTGGCAGGAACCAGCCAGCTCATCTCTGGGGTCCTCTCAGCTCTGACACGCCGAGTCCCTGAGCCCCAGGGCACAGAATCCCCCATGCATCCCTGCCCCCAAGATGCTCCATCCACCTTCCCCCCTGGGGCAGCTGCTTAGCCTACAAGGCTCCAGGCTCCCGAGGCGCCCTCCTGAGTGACTGTAAAAGGGAAGGAATGTCCAGAGGCAATTGTTTCTTCCTGATATCACTCATGGCGGGGGGTGCTGGAGAGTTGGGGGGCCCAGCCGGAACAGTGGACCAGCAGTGTCAGAATCCTCCCTGAAGCTCATCTTTCTTCTGCCGAGCTGCCAGCAAGCCCCGACCCACCCCACCCCCACGGTCTGCGGCCCTCCACACCCTATTGGCTTAGGAGGTTTAGCCTAGGCTGTCCTGCCCCCAGACCCTTCCCTGGCCTCCTTCCCTCATTGGTACTCCATCCCAATTACCATAATTCCCTCCTCCACTGCGGGGCCTCAGCCCGGTTCCAGCCCCTTCCTGCCCCCACGGTTCCTTTTACAGACATGGAGCCCAGCGTGTTTTCTGCCAAAGTAGGAGAAGTCTCAGGCTAATCTTGCCTCCTCCCCGGCCCCCAAACTCTACCAAATAGGACATCTCTGCCCATGCCAGAGGCCAGGAGAAGCAGGAGGAGGAGGAAGGAGAGGAGAGGAGGAGGGGGCTAAGCCTCAAGGGCAGGAGACTGGCTTGATGAAGGTGAACCTGCTTTATGGACTGTCAGTGGCATGGAAATTTCAGGTGTTATTCACAGCAAAAAGAGTCAGAAAGGCATGAGCAGAACGGGAAAGGAGGGGGGCTCTGGGGGCCTTAAGGAAGGCCTGGAAAGGCTTTCTGTTGCATTCGTAGCATGTGGCTGTGACCTGGGGGTGCAAGGGGAGGCCAGTCCTGGGCCAGCTCAAGGATGAGCTATGACCCTGGATGGTTCCCTGCCCCTTGCTAGACCTGTTTTCCTTGCTTGAAATGAAACATCCTCAGACAGCCCTCTACTTGCTCTGAAGTCAGGCATGAGAGGCTAGTTGCTTACTAGAGCTGTGGGGTCTCCTGGGCATACTGATTCACAGCCTCTGCGTCCCCTACCCATGTGCACTGTATGGCGGACCCCCAATTGTGGATGTGTCCCCCAGAATCAGCTCAGGCCTGCCACATGTTGCAGAGGTGTACACATAGCAGCAGAGACTGGATCAACACTATGGTTCCCCCAACCCTGGCCTTCCTCTCTGCCTTCCTCCCAGGTTCCCACCATCCTGACTCAACCTCAGGTCCTCCTCAGCCAAACAGAAGTGGCCCACCCTCTGCAGAGTATTCGGGGTCTTAGTTGTCCCCTCCACCACCATCCCATCTTGATACCGTTGAACCTCCCTGCTCTCTGGGTCCCATCCAGTCCTGCACCTTCTGCAACACACAGGACTGAGGGGCCCCATCCCCAACACACTGTGACCCCAAGGAGGCTGGAGGGAAGCCCCACCAGCCTGACAACAGGGGAAGGGGCTGTCAGAATCCGGGCTGGAGGGTGTCAGAGCAGGCTTTTGGGACAGAAGTGCACAGGCTACTTTGACCCCAGGGCTTGCAATCCACACAGCCCCTGCAGCTCTGCTCTACTGAACCCCCCCCCCCCCCCCCGCTCAGGATAACACAAGCCCCCACTTTATTTTTTGCAGTACTGGGAGTTAAACCCAAGGCCTTCTCACTAGGCCGCATCCGCAAACCTTTTTATTTTGAGGCAGGATCTCAATAAGTGCTAAGTTGCCCAGGCTGGGTTTGAACTTGTGGTCCTCCTGCCTCAGCCTCCAGGAGTGCTGGGATTACTGGCATGCATCACCACACACCACTTTCTTCCTCACACCTTAACCTAGGTGAGACAGCTGCCCTGGCGTTCTCATCCCTCAGCTTCTGCCTGATTCATTCCCATTCCTTTCATCTTTCCTCACGTCTTTTTTTGGTTTCGGCACCTCCAGTTTGGTCATATTGCTGCTGTCCTGGGCCCTTTCCAGTTCCCTACCTCCCTCTGAGGCTGAGGCTTAAACAGGGCCTGACAGGCTGGCAGTGACCTCACAGGGCCACTATGCTCAGCTTCTATTTCTGGCTATGTAGGATCCTCCCTCTCTGCCTCCAGCAGGCTGAGTCACAGGAGTGTGGGGTCCCCTCAGACCCCAGAACCTTCCCTGACACCCAGGCCACAGCCTGGCACGGCACTCTGAACTGTCCTCGCTGGTGGGCGGAATATTTTTATTCTCCAAACTCTCCAAGCACACAGCAAAAGTGAGTGGAGTTCGGGGATGCTCCTTCTTGGGCTCTCAGCATGAACTGCTCTATCACCCACGCCCACCTTCCCTCTACTCACACTGGCCAGACTGTCATCAGAGGACTAGCTTCTCTTTGACTTAGCAGAAGAACAAACAAGGGGGAGAACTTGGGAGAGCTGATAGGTTCAAACCCTGAATCTACTACTCTTGCATCAGTTTCTTCACCTCTTTGAGCCTCGGTTTCCTCATCTGTAAATTGGTCATAACAGTTTGGAAAGAGTCAGGGAGATTAAATAAGAGACTGTGTGGAAAGAACTTTGTACAGGGCCTGGCATGTAGGGGCAGCTGATGCCACCATTTTGTTCCTTTCGAGCAACAAGGAGCCTGGCTCTGGGAGGTCCAGGGCTGTGCTGGGGTCCTTGTTTAAGGTTAGCAGGGATAGGATCAAGATTCACAACCAGGACTGCCTCATTTCAAGGCTCTTCCTCTTCCCATGGGCCATACTGCTTCTGATAATAACAAAGCTACTGCTTACTGAGCACCTACTATATACACCAGGCACAGAGTGCAGGGCCACTGCCTAGTAAACCTCTGGACAGAGTGCTGTGGCTTTTGTTTGACAGCTGTGGGCTGAGTTCCGGGACAGGCAGCTTCCCCAAACCTGCACACCAGGTTAAAACCAAAGCCTGGATTTGAATCTAGCTGTTGGCCACAGCAATCCTGGTCATTTCTCCATCTGGGGGCTGAAGCCTTATCACAGATTGGATCAGTGTGTTCAACCTCGGTTCCTCCCCTTTCAACTTAGCTCATTGGGGAATCTCCACAGGAAAAAGCCCCTGGTCCAGTGTGGGATCCTTCCCAGCATTCCACTCTGCTCCTTTCCCCAGCAGCTCCCCAGCCTCCCTGTCCTCTGGGGAGGGGGCTGGACAGAGAGTGGAGAGTCACCAGTGGATTGGGGTCACCCCTTTGGCAGAGGAGTTGGCCTTCATCCCCCAGGAGGGGGAGGTACTGGAAATTCCCTGTCTCAGGAAGAAGCAAGTGGGTGCAATGGGTCCACCCTGCCCTGTGACACTCATAGGGCAGCTCCAGGGTCCCCTGTGGCTGGAGAGACTCCCCAGAGCCACCCTGGGCCCAGACTCCCCTCATCCGGCTTAATCAGCCTCACCATCGAGGCTTCGTGGAGGACCAGGACTGTGGGTAGCTTTGCTCCCAGGCCTCAAGGTTAGAAAGAGCCCCTAGGGTCTCCCACCAATGGCTGGGAATTCCTACTGCCCCAGCTCCTGCATGTCAGAGCCACCCGGGTGCTCCCTTTTTGGTGAAAGACTCTAGGAGGTACAATTTGCCAAAGCCAGGCTGCAAGGTTTCTCCCAGCCACAGCACTCAGAGCCCATACCGCAGCCTTCCCAGTGCCCTCCTGGCGTCCACACCTCACCCTGTTCTTCTGCTGCCCTCCCCAGCAACCCTGCAGGCCCAGCACCAGAATAGACCACTGAGCGCCTGCTCTCCTGACCAGGAGGGGCCGCAGCCGCTGCTGCCAGTCAGGGAGGGCAGGGGCTGGGAGGAGCGCAGGGCCAGGTGGGGGCTGCCACGGGGTTGGATGGGGGCCACGGCCCCAGGCTGGCTCTAGATGCTCCTCAGTGCTGTGCAGAGCTCCCCACCAACACCCAGCAAGCAGCGGGTCACCCATTGCTCAGGTGGGGCAAGGCCAGGATCCCAGCCAGCATCTGAGCCCTCAGCTTCTCCCTCTCTGCTGTATCCAACCTCTCCTCCTCTCTGGGCCTCTGCCTCCCCCCCCCCCTCCCACTCCACTTATCCCCCTCTCCCCCAATGAGGACGCCTTTGAACAGTGACCCTGCATTCCAGCCTCGCTGGGGTCGGGAGGGCTTCCGGCCTGGCTTGGGATCCCTGTAGACACCCTTACATCCCAGCTCTTCTCTCCCCCAGCCTTCTAGCTGCTGGCCCTGCATGGTTCCCTTCTCTGACACCTCCCCCAGCCCCAGGCCTGATTTAGCTCCCTGAAATCCAATCTGGCCATTTCCTGAGCACACAGTGCCCTTCCCAAATGGCCTGTCCCCCTGGCCAGGGTGGCCTTGGCTTCCCTACACGGAAGCAAGTCCTTTCCTGGGCTTCCTCTGTACCCCCCTCTTCTTCCCATCCCTAGGGGCCCCCAAGGCAGAGCCTATCCTAACCCCACTCCAGCCAGGCCTTTGCTCTCCCCGTCCCTCCCTCTGCCTGGAACATTCTCTCTCTCCCCAAGTACATTTCCTCCTGAACTCTCTCCTCCCCACCGGCTGCAGAGGCTCCAGCCACATCTCCAGAGCTCAGAGTGCAGCCAGGCTACCTGCTTGTCTTCTTTCTAGCTGTGTGACCAGGAAGCACTGCCTCCCTCTCTGTCTCCACAGCCTCATCGGTAAATGCGGGGGAATAACAAAGTGTTCCTTAGACAGAGCCCTGAGGACTCCGGAGTAACTTCACAAAAGGAGTTTACAATAGCTGTGGGTACACAGTAAGCTCTCCTTAACTGTTAAATGAAAACCATCCTTTCCTGCCTTGTGTCACTGGGACTCTGTTTTCTCCCAGGGAAGACACCATGAGCTCTGAGACACTTCATTTACTTAATAACATCATTTCAAAGGAAAAAGGACATATTACCATGCGGAACGCAAAAATCTTTAGCTAGCCATCTTCCAATTTCAGAATGTGTAAATTGCCGAGTAACAACAATCCCTGTGTGGTGTGTGTGGTTCCCCACCTCCCTTCGGAGTCCCCTTTTCCTTATTTATGTTCAGTGCCTGAGGGCTTGGGGTTCAAATCTTTACTCCCAAATTGCGTTTAGCCCAGTGAACCTAGGCAGGTTGACTTCTTTAAGCCTTGATTTTTTTTTTCCCTAAAGAGCCAAGGTAACTCACAACGATTGTAATGAATATTAAACGAAATTTTATATAGTGCTGTACTGAGCATTCAACACGGGAATGATCATTATTGTGATGATTTTAAAACGTTGGTTGAATTGAATCACAGCCTCCCAAAGACGCGGGAGGTGAATACAGTAGGTATCGGTTCTCTTGTGGTCCAAGCGCCCTCCAGCGGCCTTACCGGAAAACTGCAGGATTCTTGATGATAGATGCTCTTCCTTAGGTGGTCCGAAGCAGCAATTCACCCCGCTTCACCCCACACCAGGTTTACCCAGAATTCGTCACCTTATTCTTCCTTTTTACAGAGGCCTCAAGGAGCTTCTAAAAGATTCTCAATAGGATAAGAAGCTGGTGCAGAGCTTCAGCCATGGAAGCTTCCAGCCTGCCAAGCATTGCCTCTCAGAGCAGGGCAGTAAGTTGGTGGAGGTAGGTTGGTGGCCGCCATGAGTGAGCGTCAGTCCCCACTGGACCCAGAAGCCATGGGAGCTGGCCTGGGGAAGACCCCTCTTGGGCCCCACCTTCAAAAATCTAGCACAAAACAAATTCAGTCTATTCCAGGAGTCCGGACGCTGCTGTGTTTGTCATCTGCCTGCCTTCCATCCTTCCTTCCTTCCTTCCTTCCTTCCTTCCTTCCTTCCTTCCTTCCTTCCTTCTTTCCTTCCTTCCTTCCTGCTCCATTCATCAATACTTAGTGAGCACTGGGTGTATACTAAGCCTCATGTCCTAGGTGCTTGGGTTAAAAAGATCAATTTAACATAGACACAAACACAGCCACCGAGAGCTGTTCACAATGTCCCAGACACCACATGCAGAGCTAACCCTTGCATTCGAGTGTTTACAGCTTCTCTGGGTGGCCGACAGACAGCGGGGAGGGCAGAGGCAGCTCGAAGCTGGCTGAACAGAACAGCAGATCCCAGCTGCCTGCCTGATCTCCGAGATAGGATGTGCCCTGCTAGTCTGGCTGTGTGAAGCAGTGGGCCTCCCCTGTCAGGTCACCCTGTTCTTCTGAGAAATCCTCCCCCATTTCCAACACTGACCATCCTGCCTCCTACCTTTCCCAATGAGACCTCTCAAATGTCTCCCCATACCCTTCTTCAGGGGCCCCCTTCTGGCTCCCTCCCTAGTTGCCCCATTTCCTCAGAATTCCCCCCCTCCTCCCGCTGCAGATACCCAGGCTATGGGGGCCCTGCTGGATCCTCTCTACTCCTAGACCACTGCTGCACAAAGGAAATAAAATGGGAGCCATGTGGGGTGGTGTTCTTGAAGCCACTTTATCTTTGGTGCTGGGGATTGAACCATGACCTCGTGCTTGACAGGCAAGCACTTAGGTCACTGAGCTAAATCCCCAGCTAGAAGTCACATTTTAAAAGTGTATAAGAAACTGGTGAAATTAATCTCACTAGCATAGTCTATTTCTCCCCGTCTACCTAAAATGTCACCATTTCAGTGTGTATCCAATATAGTCAAATGGAGCTATGTTATGGGTTTTGCCATCATCTGATACATATGTTACTTAGTGAATACAGCGCCCCTCAGCATGAAAGGCACTCAGTAGTATTTCAAATGTGTAACAACCATGTGTGGCTACTCTATCGGATGTCACAGTTCTAGAGCCTTCGTTAGCCGCCCAGGCATACGAAATTTTACATGTGCAGTTAATCATCTCATTCCTGCATGTCCTGTCTCCTTAGGGAGATTAGAAGCCCCCTCAGAGGCAGAATCCTCATTTGATTTCCCTGCTTATCTCCCATGACACCCAGAAGCTGTGCCCCCACACTCAGGAGGCCCTCAAAATGTGTTTGCTGATGGGAGTGAGCGTCGGGGATTGATTTTTGTGGTTCAGTTATGGCTGTAAATGGTGTTTTATAGATTGCTTCTGTAGAAGCACCCCGCTGCAATATTAGCAGAAACAAGCAGCCGAGGCTGTCAGCATAGGCAGTGGCTTCGGGGCAGATGGGGCTCCCTGAATGAGGCAGGGGAAATCCTGCCAGACAAAATACCATTTCACTGACTTAAGAACCTGTCACGGCCGCGGCGTGCTCCTCCATGCAGCCCCATCTCCATTAGACCTCAGATCCAGGCCTTGTCAGGGCGCATTACACAAAGGATATATCTCCAGCTTTCCGCCATCAGGGCCGAGAGGGAGTTATTCGGGCCGACAGAGCCTGGCCTGCAGCAGATGCCCGACGAGAGTGTGTCAGACGAACAGATGCGTGGATGACGGGTGCCCGAGAAGCTGCTCCTTCCTGTACTCACACATCAGAAATCCTAGTGCACGCTCACTCCTTAGGCCCTGCCTGCCCGGCGCTGGCCCAGCCGTGAGCAAGGCGGGCATGCCCTCTGGAAGCTCATTTCTGCTGGGAGAGACCGGCCAGGAATACGTCCACTCACACAAACGAAGTCCTGAGCATGCTGCTGTCAAGTAGGGAAGAAAGGGGCGGTCTGCCTGTCGCCTCCTGGAATACAGGACCCCTCCCCACGCCAGCAGTGACATCAGACATTGGCCACAGCAGGCTGGCCTGAGGCTCCAATGACGTCACTGTTTCAAAGTGCACTGATGATGTCATAATGGGCTCTGGGGGCTGGGACAGAACCCTGCAAGCTGGGACAGAGGACACTTGTGTCCATTCTGCCTGGATGAATCTCACTGGGGCCTCAGGAGGAGGTGGGCAGGTCTCCATGGCACTCAGCCTCTTCCCCACCTCCCTCCCAATTACTGGCTTACTGGCTCTAGTGAGGTAACCGGGCCTGTCTTTGTGTCTGATGGGATCGTCCCAGCCTGTGCAGATGTGGCTACTTTTCCCTGTGACTGTACAGTCTTAGGTACTATGGGGAATAAGAAGGTGAACAGGGTGTGGTGGTGCATTCCTGTAATCTCAGTGCTCTGGGAGGCTGAGGCAGGAGGGTGGAAAATTTTAGACCAGCCTGATCAACTTAGGAACTCCTGTCTCAAAGTAAAAATTTTAAAATAAAGGACTGCATATAATTAAGTGCAAAGGCTCTGGGCTCAATCTTTAGTATCACAAACAAACAAAAAATAACAAGATAGGGTCTCACCCTCACTCTAACAACATTAAGTCAACATGGAGCACGCTAACAGAACGAGACTGTCATTACCCTGGCTGGTCGTGGAGGAGCGGGTGCTATGAGCTAATGTGGTCATTCCCTAAGAGCACTGTGTGGTGTCCAGCTTCTTTCTGTCTGTGTTGCCCACCAACATGGCAGCAGGCTCAAAGGCAGTCTTCCCGTTGGCACAAGTGGTTTCGAGGATCTAGATTGTGTTTCCTAGGATGGCCTAACAATAGCTCAGATCCTCGCAGATCCTCATAATGCCTCATAGTGCCTCATAGTGCAAATCCCTGGGCCTCTGTCCATATTGCCCAAATCAAAATTTCCAGGTATGTGGCTTGTGAATGTGCATTTTGGAAATCACACCAGAAAATCCATACCCTCAGTCCTGCCCTACAGTTTCCAAGCCCTGTCCATGTCTGGCCCACCAGGGTAGCTCGAGTTCTCGGTGGGGGATGAGTGTTGGCTTTTGATACTTTTATTACTGATTCATAAACTGCCGGTGGCCAGCTGTCAGCTTGGAAGAAGTCAGAGGCCGCTAAGAGCAGAATTCCTGATCTTTGCAGCCCATCTATAAAATGCTTACCTGAGCAGACACTGTTTAAAGGCCATTAAAATACCAGACACTGAATAACCCAGTCCCTGGAACTTTATAGACATATTTACTCAGCCCCTAGAGCTTGCAAAGAGTAAATAAAAGGAAAGCAAAATGAGTAAGCACCCCTAGAAATAAGGACCAAAAGTAAACAGCCCTGTTCACTAAAATAAACAGGACAAATCCAGCGCGGATTAAATGACCTCTAGTCAGGCGGCTCAGAGCCAGAACTGCCCATCTTGGCTGCCAGAGGAAGGAGAAAGGGCTTGTTCCTGCCACCTGGAGTGAGCCCTGCCAAGCCTGGGCTCCTGGAGGTCAGAGCCAGGCCCGCAAGGGCAGATGTTAGCTGCAGGTGGTGGGCGCAGCCCTAGATTTTGCTGGCAGCCAACCCAGGGCTGAAAAGCTGCAAGATTAAGCAGTGTGTCCCCAAATGTCTGCAGTACTAGGCAGACTTTGAGAGCCCTGTTAACCCACGTTACTATTACTTACCATATTCAGTAGCTTAGCAGACATGTATCCAACACCTGCTGCGGTCAGGTTCTGTGCCAGTCACTAAAGGTATCAAAATAAATAAGGCATAAAAAAAGATGAGTGAGGCACAGCACTGCCCTCCAGTGGTTCATAATTTACTGTGACAGGTAATACTAGCCAACATTAGCCTCGGAAAGTGGCATACACCTGTAATCCCAGTACCCAGGAGGCTGAGGCAGCAGGATTGCTGCAAATTTGAGATCAGCCTGGGCTATATAGAGACACTCTTTCTCCAAAAAAAAAAAAAAAAAAAAAAAAGAAAGAAAAGAAAAGAAAACGCAAAAAAAAATAGACAAAAATACTAGCTAACATTTATTGTTCACTTACTATTTGACAAATTTAATGAAAAGTACTTGACATAGATTATCTCATCTAATTCTTGTAATTTTATTTTTTGGTGTTTTTGAGACAGGGTCTTGCTATGTAGTTGAGGCTGGTGCTCACTTTGTAACCTAGACTGGTCTCAAACTCACATCAGCCTCCTGAGTGCTGGAATTATAGGCATGTGCCACCATGCCCAGCTGTTGTAACTCTTTTTAAGAGGAGTAAAACAGAACAATAAATCAAAACAAAACAGTGATAATACAGTAGGAAATCTATAATGTTACTATATTGCATATTGTTATCCTCTGAATAGTTGCTCAGACTATTGCAAAGTCAAGCAATATAGTTCCTCTGAATCATGTTTATGGGTGTGTGTGTGTGCATGGCTCCCTGGGCCATGCACCAGCTGGCTCATGGGGGTGGGGGTGTGGCTTCCTTCCTGCTTCTCCTCAGTACATATGCTAGCTGGCCCTTTGTAACATTTTTGAGGTTATTACGTGCCCCCATTTTTCAGATGAGAAAACTGAGGCTCATAGTATATGGTATGATAATAAATGTTCAGTAACTGGCTCTCTGGAAGGAAACAAAACAAAATGAAAGAAAATGTCCTGATCTGTAGTGTTTATCAATCTTGGTAAATATTCACAGGCCTGTCCCATCTGATGTTCCTGAATGGAACGGGAGACAGGGCTGGGCTGACCCCAGCCAGCACAACAGACTGGGCCCATAGCCAGGCTGTGAAGGAGCCAGGATTTGACCCAAATGCGTCCCATCCTGAACCCACATGCATAACCACTTTGTCATCTGGTCAATAATTGCACGAGATCGTTGACATTCAAGAGGGACGCTGCTTAAGATCTTTGTGAAGTGTCAGCTTTACAATGCTGCATAAAACGTCCAGGTTCCTAAGCGGCACTTCTCGCCGCCTCTTGCATCTCTAATAGGAGCAGTTGATTTTCTTTGGAGGACCATTCAAAAGTACACTGTGTCTGAAATAGGTACACATTCACAGGAGGCTGCAAAAATAGCAAACAGAGAGGTCCCTTCCCAGTGCTCTCAGTGGTAGCCACTGCACAAACGCACAGTGAGGAAAGTGACATAGGTGAAATATGGCACCTATACTGCCAGGCTGTTTCTTCTGGGATGCCAGGTTTAGCAAACAAAAATACAAGACACTCAGCTAAAAAAATTATTTTTTAGCTTAACTGTGTCACATACAGTATTTGGAAAATACTTATACTAAAACAAACAAAAATAACGAGAAAAACTACCGGTTTATATCTTGAGTTCAAATTCAACTGGGCATCCTATATTTTATCTGACATCTCAAGCCCCTGCCCCATGCCAGGATTGAACCTAGGTCCTTGTATTTACCCGGCTACACCCCAGCCCCTGGTGACTGCCTTTTATCACGTATGGTCATAACCATTTTTGTGGACAAGCTGTGAAATTATCCATTGCCGTGAAGAAGGTCCTGTGTTAGCCCTTTAGAGTCACAGCCATCCTTCTCCTTGGCAACTGCTATTCTGTTCTTTCTAGAATTTGTCATTTTTTCCACTCAGCATTCACGCCTACCCAAGTCATTGCATTTGTCAATGGTCTGCCCTTCTTATCGTGTGTTGTATTCCATGAGAACAAATATTTTCACAAAGAACAATTGTTTATTTAAAATCTCATACGCTCAGGGTCTGTTTACTGAATACCCACCCAGTACGGGGCACTGAGGACCACAGCAGCTACGCTGAGTTACAGACACCAGGACTTAGGGGACCCGAGACAGGAGATGACCCTGGGGCAGGGACGGAAGAAGGGAGAGCTGAGGCCTAGCACACTGCTCTCTGGAGAAGCCAGGGAAGGAGGAGGGGCACAGGTACCCTAACAGACTGGCTATGGCTGTGAGAAAGAGAGCATCCACGAAGAGCCAGGGATTTTGGCCTGAAACTGGAACAGAGCTGCTGTGTGCTGCGATGGGCAGGATATGATGGACAGATGATACCGGACATTCCTACTGGGCACACATGTGGAGATGGTGGATGAAACATTGGAGATAAACTCAGAAGAAACGGTGAGAGGTGTGTAAGTTTGGGCATTGCAGGGTGTACATGCCACCTAAACCCACCAGGCTGGAGAAGACCAGCAAGGAACTGAGAGTAGATGGATTTCTACAGACTCAGACCTGAAGCTCACATTCAAAAATGAGACATTTGGAGCCGGAGATACAGCTCAGCGGCTCAGGGCCTGCCTGGCAAGCGCCAAGTTCCTGAGTTCGATTCCCAGCTCCACCCCAAAAAGTGAGGCAATGAGGAGGAGCCAGGGAAGCAAATGCAAAGCAATGGTCAGCGAGGACAGCAAGCATCCTGCTAGCCAGGTAAAGCTTCCAGAGCAAGCAAGCGGTCACTTTGTCAAATATGTTCTTGGGTCCAGGGCCACAAATACTGAAAATCAACCAGTGGGCTCAGCACTGAGGTTACTTTTTACCTCGATAACATAAATATTAGTGGAATGGTTGGAGGGAAAACATATTTCCAGAGGGCGTGTAAGAGAATGGGAGAGAAAGAGGAATCAGTTAATCTCTTTTTCCAAAAGGGGCTTACTTAAAGGGGAATGGAAAATGAGGCTATTGCAGGAGGAAAACTGGTGATAGGTAATTTTTCAGCGAAGGCGTAATTCCAGAAGCTGTGTGGTGTGCCAGTCCACGTGACCTGTGGAACTGTGGAATTTGGTAAGGCAAGAGAAGACGGAGAACTAGAGAAACCGTGCCCTGAAAGCCAGGCAGTCCCAGCTACAGGGAGGCTGAGGCAGGAGGACTGGCCCAGCACAGGAGTTCAAGACCAGCCTGAGCAACACAGCTAGACCTTGCCTCAGCAGGAAGGAAGAAAGGAAGAAAGAAAGTAGAAGAAAAGCAAAATGGTGCCCGTAAGTAAAAGGAGGGGCAGATCCTGTGCATGAGTGTGAGACAGACTTGGACTCCCGGAGGGCTCACCCACAGAAATGAGGACAAGTGCCCTATGAAGGCTTGTATTGTCACAGAAAAATGGGAGCCGCTATGAGCTGGAAGCCAGGGTGGGGTGGACACCGGAAGAAACCGTCCTCTAGGCGAGGGGAAGAGCAAAGGTGGCAGGCGCAGGGGAGCTCCGGGGTGCACAGAGCCCCCTTTAGGGCCGAGCTTGGGACTGGTCGACCTGGCAGCCTTCTGTCCAGCCACTTGGGTGCAGGTGCGGTGCAGGTGCGGAGCAGGTGCAGAGCCAGTCGCCGTCAGGGTTACGGTTTTGCCAGGTAAGGAAGCAAATCCAGGGGTAAGCAACGCAAAGGATGGGGTCACATCACAGGGCGTTTGCTTTGTGCTGCAGAAGAGGGTGAGGGAGACAGAGCGACAAACAGATAGGAGCGACAGTCTGTAATTCTAGTGGAGGTGAAGAATGTGTTTTTTATTTCAAATGTCTGTCAAAAGAAACACTCCATCTGCTTCC